TGTGTGTGTGTGTGTGTGTGTGTGTGTGTGTGTGTGTGTGTGTGTGTACTGAAACTCCTAGAGCTGGGAGTTACAGGTGGTTATGATTGCTGGGTGGTTATGGATGCTGGGAACCAAACCCTGGTCCTCAAAAAGAGCTGCAAGCACTGAGACATCTCTAGCCCCAAACAAGTGTTTTGTTTGTTTGTTGCTATTGTTTTTGGTTTTTGAGACAGGATCTCTCTATGTAAGTAGCTATGGCTACACTGGAATTCACTAAGTAGAGCAGGCTAGCCACTCACAGAAATCTGCCTGCATCTGCCTCCTAAGTGCTAGGATTTAGAGCATGCTTTTGTACATGCTAGTTTTCCCAGCTACAAGGGGTGTAGAGATTGGAGAAACAGCACTCAAGGCCAGTCAAGCTACCAAACAAGATGAAAGGACAGAGAGACAGACAGACAGACAGACAGACAGACAGATCGATCTTCCTCATTGGTTTATATTCTACTGTGAACAAGCCTTGTACTCATATATGACTTTGATACTTTGCTCACTGGTTCTTTAGAAAACGTTGGGTCAATGCATCAAACAAATCTTCCAAATACAAGTTTTATCTTACAGTATCAGAAAAGTCACATTTGCAAATGCCATCATGATCTCATGAGGCAAAGGATTACACACTGGGAAACTTCAAAGTTCATTGTAGCAGAAAGGCGTTTTTCAAAAATTTTAGCCTTTTGGCTTGAAAGCAGAAATTTTATCATCGGTGTAAGCTTTGTCAATTCCCTTTCTTGAAGTAACAGATTCTCTTTGCTCATTTTTAAGTAGCCACCTATGAAAAATACATATATCATTGCCTGGCAATCTTTTCTTAAATAAAAATGGTGAACCACAAAAGAGGCTAGTTTATCAAATTACTGAAACAGAAAACTTTTTTTCAAGATACCCCTATATCCTGCAGCAGGAGCAATGCTTTCCATGGCCATCTCATTTGTCACATGATAAAATGTTTACTATTTCAGAGTGGAATGAAGCCATCATTCACTTGTACAGAATGATGAAAAATACATTGACCACTACCAGTATGGTGCCGGCAGACTTCCTCACTGTGTTGGTTGACTCTCCATCACTATGACAAATACCTAAGCTAGTCAGCTAACAAAGAAGAAAGGTTCATTCGGGCTTACAATTTGTGGATTTCAGAACATGTACAAGCAGACCCAGTTCTGGATATCACACTACAGTGGACTCATAC